TCTGTCTTGCTTTCTTTCTTTCTTCCCTTACACTTGCCAGGCAGGTGTTTATGCCACTGAGCTATCTCCCTGGTCCCTGGTGCAAACACTCTATCCATGTCTCATGCATTGTGTCTCCTGGTACATGTGTGCAAGAGAACTCTAGAGCAAGCTCCCTGCCTTTACAAAATCAGAACTAATCATACATTTTTGAAGTAGATTATTTTTCCAACATGAATGTTAAATTGTAGATGCAAAAAGACATATTATTTTACAGAAATTGTATGAATAGTACTGAATAAAAATAGCTGCAGCAGAAGAGAAATACTTTAAGAGAATAACTTAAAAAATTGATTAACCATATTGAAATTTTTGATTTTTCAAAATACATAGTTCAGGATTCTATTTCATTCTCAGTACATTATTATCTGTAAAAATATCTCTAGGATATGCCTCTGGCTTCCATAGGTTTCAAAAGACAGTACAGTATGACTAATAATAAAAAATGATTTCAGTGCTAGTCCCCACATTCCCTCTGAATTCAGTCTGACTTAGTTACAAGGAGTTAGATAAAACTCATGATTCTTCCTGGGAAGCAGAGGTGCCCATGTGGGCTGACAGAAGAGATATTTAAACATGGGAATGAATGCATTTTCAGTGGTGATTTGCTTGGAAAACAGTGAAAAATACAAAATTGTTTTTCTTCCAAAAAGAATGTGATTTCCCTTTTGTAATAGTGTACGAGTTGCACTTATTTACCTATGGTAAAGGTTATAATCTCCAATTTGTACCAAATAGAGTTACTTATGTTTTTTTCAGTTATCTGAAGGTTTCCTTTTTATTTTTTTTTATTTTTATTAGTATATGTTTGCAATGCATAGCAATTACGTTCCTTCTGGGGAGACATAAATAACACATCCTAACTACATTTTGCTTCTTCCCTCCACTGCTTCTTCCCCTTTTCTCCATCCCTTGGTCCCTTTCTTATTTGCAAAATAAGATTTATTTTGGAGAAACTGAAGTGCATTACAATTTTTAAATGAATATAAACATTTTAGAACCTATACCTATGTGTATGTATTTATATTTTAATTCAGGAAGATAATAAAGATTTCTTTTTCATGTTGAAGTGTATCCTTGTTGAAGAATTTACCTGAAGATAAACTAACCAAGATCATTGACTGCTTGGAAGTGGTAAGAGATTTTAAAGTGAAAAGTGAATTTCATTAGAAGATTTCAGAATCTAGTTATGGTATGAGCACTGTAAATGAATAAAATGGAGAAGATGGTAGATCACCAATCTACACAGGCCAGGAGGCTGTATCTATTGTAAAAATCCTAGGCCAATTCAATCTGAATCAAGGGAGCAGAAGGGGTCCTTTTCAGAAATGTATAAAAAGAAATTGGATTTGCATGTGCAAATAGAAATTTGATTTACATATTTTAATGCTTTTAATATATTTTATAAAACTAATCTTTCTTACTCAACAGGCATTTGATTTTCTACAATTAACATCACAGTCCTTTACAGAGCTTTCCCAGTATAAAAGGGGCAGTGAGGCATAAATAGGAAATGGAACACAGAAAGGGCATGTTTATGCTTTTGGTGACAGGACTCTGAATCAGACTATGGAACATTCTATACTTGAACACTCTAGGTCACTAAGATAAGTTTTAAGGAATTGTACTCAAGAAGCACTTAACCTATTTTAATATCTAGAGGAAAATGGTGTGTTGGAATGTATTCAAAAATTCATTTTAGGCATCATCCAGATGGTTGGTTTTGGTCCAAGCCTCATATTTTTTTGTGAATAATGCTTTTATGACATGCACCTTGGATTCTAATGCTATACATTTTATGAAAACCTCTTCAGATTGCAGAGATTAAAATTCAAAGTAAATAATCCCTCACACTTTCTTGGAGGCTCATCTTCATTAAAACCAAAATGGTTTCTATGGAATTTGAAGGAGGTAGGGAGTGGTAAAGTTACTTCTAGCCTTTAAGGTTTTATATAGCTGCTTTTAATGGGAGAAAAATTTTCAATTGTGCAACAAGATTGATTGTTGACAGATTCGTGCTTCTTGTCAATCATATCATGTAGCATGAACCAATATCTGTTGAGAAGGGAGCCAGGGCCAGTCCCTCCTGAAGTGTAAGTGATACCAGTAATGTTTCCATTTATAATTTGTGGAACTCATCCAGTAATTTATCAAGGAAAAGCCATGATGACACAGAGTGCCTGGCCTCATGCTCCGGGGGGCTCAGGTATGAAGTGATTTTCAAGGAGACAGCTGACCCTCTCCCCTTGGGATTTTTCTAATGCAACACAAACCGATCACAGATGTTAGAAATTAATAATTCATCCTAATTTTAAATGTGTGTGTGTGTGTGTGTATGTATGTATGTATGTATGTATGTTTAAAGCTATAAAAGTCCTGTTTTTCTGTTAACCAGAGAAATCTGTTTTTAATCTAATACTAATAGAGTTGATTTACCAGAGGGGAATTCCATGCTGACAGCAAATATGAAAATGTAGTATCATTAAAAATAAATGCTATACATTTTTATGGCAGCCACAGGCACTAACTATGGAATTTATAGATGGGACCTCAATGCAGTATTATTTAACACACAATTCAAGCTTGAAAGTCTCATCTTTTGAAACACCCTAGAAAAGCTGTACTATATCTGAGCATTTGGAGACAACAGCTCAGTTTATAAAAGTCTCTTTATCCATACCTGGCAATCAAATGTATCTCTGTAGTATGAAAAAATTCTCAGATACAAAAGTGATGAACAAGAGAGTGATGGGATCTGTTTAGCTCAAAGAAGAGCACATCACTTACCAACATAGATTGGCCTCAGGACCCTTCAGCCTGGTCTGGACAAGCAATCAATACCTAACACAAGAGAGTTAGGACAGAGCACCCACAGAGTTCTAAGACCAGTGATTCCACAAACTCACTTTGTTGTCCTTAAGAAAAAAACAGGTGAAATCTGTCCTGCTCTGTGTACAGGACTATGACTTGCGAGGCCTTCTCTGTACAGATGAATAGTGGAAGGAGGTTAGAACTGCCTATCGCTGAGCAGTTGAGCTGATGCTTGGTCCACAGACTGTAGTACTTTTGGAAAAATAGCCCCTATAGTGCAGTGGTCCACAGCTTCTCATGTCACTCAGAATGTCTGATCTATAGATAGTCACTGCCTTGAGTCTGTCTTAGGCTGGAGTGTAGTGACAGACGATAACACAAACCCAATGTTGTTGATGCATCTCTCAAGCATGAGGTATTGAATATGGGAGAGAAAGGAGCTTCTGGTCCCACACAGAGTGCTCAGTGCAGAAGCACAGAGCTAGGCTATGCTGTCCTGCATTGCACATGCTGGGATCAGCCAGATGCGTGATGCAGAATTCTGGAATTGGACCCTAAGGCCTTCTCCACTACCATTCTGACTCCCAAAACCCTAGCTGTAAGGTGAGAGTGGAATGTCCCTGTCTTTCAGACCTCATTCACATAAGCCACCCCACACCGCCAAATCAAAACCTGATAGGAGCCCCCAGATCCACACTTTTAGTAGTTATGGTATGGGATTCTTATGCTTATTAAAGTTTTTTTCCCCCTCAGTATTGGTAATCTGGGATTTTGTACTGAGCTGCCTAAGCCCTAGGCCTTTTCTTCTTATTTTGAGACAAGGTCTCTGTAAGTCATTAATTTGCCCAGACTGAGCTAGAATTTGTGAACTTGGGATCCTTCTTCCTCAGCCTTCCAGAGGGTTGGGATTACAGACCTCAGTACAGTGCTCAGCTCCCATTTAAGTTTGAAAAATATTGATTTTTTAAGGAATATATAGATATAGATATAGATACATAGAGAGAATTTTCCACAGCCTGCCTCTTGATTCAGACATTTTCCATTTTTAGTAATTCTTTTGAAAACCTAGTCTTTCTTAGAGTCCCTGCTAACACTTTCACAAGCCAGAGAGTCTTTTCATTGACTGATGACATCCAGACTGTTGAGAAAGTGGAGATACTTGGAGATTCTGTTGCAACTTATGGGCCAGTGAATTCAACGTGGGGCAGCCTGGAAATGTAGAAGGGTCACCTGTCTGCAGTCTGAAAATTGGGATCTGTGGCTCCTTCTCATTCACTCCCAGCTCTCAGTAAGTTGTGTGAGCTCTGGTATCTCCTCACCTGCAGAATGTGGAGGCCACGGACCATTGCATCGGGAATGCTACGGAATTCTATGTAATTGGCTTGGCCACTTGGTCTACTAGGAATAATTTCTGTTGGTTTTCATTTTGTATTATCTAGTTCCTTGGAAATAAGAAGTCTGAGACTGCATTAATGCTGAAGGCTCATAGGGCCCACCCACTCTAGTCATGTGTGCTTTAAAATTTCTAAACTGTTTTAATTCTTTTACTAGGGAAAAAATAGCTGGTTATAACCTAAATACTTCTAAGTATTTTTTAAACAATAAATTTGGGGGCCAGCCAAATAGCTCAGCAAATCAAAGCACCTGCAAGCAGGCACAGTGGCCGGGGGTTCAATTCTTGGGCCTGCCATGCCAGCCCCGGCCCTGGAGTGAACTAAGACAGTGACTGACACTGGGCATGGTGGCGTGTGCCTGTAATCCCAGCACTTGGGAGGCTGTAAACAGGAGTGTCACTGTGAGTCAAATCTAGTAGTGAGAACCTGAACACCTTGTGGACTTTTCCCTGTAATACAGAAAAAATGAAAAATAAACAACATGTCACATGATGGTGTGGTGGAGTGTGTGTGTGTGTGTGTGTGTGTGTGTGTGTGTGTGTGCGTGTGTGTGTTTTACATCTGATTGTACAATATCGATATTTCTGAAGAATAGAGATTTTTAGCTGCAAACTATAGACTATAAGGAGTTCTGTCCTTGCCTCTAGTTTTTCCTACATCTTTTTATTTGATATATTCTTAATTTAACTTTGGTTAGGTTATTGCCAAATAAGCATTTTCCTTATGGTGAAAAATAAACTTTTCACATCTTTAGCTGTTGCTGTTTGTTTATATGATTTCTTCTGATCTCTACTACTTCTGTTTATCCTAAAATTATTTTCTCTTGTTTGAAATATCTTTTTCAAATTGTGGATCGCAAAGCATTATTAAATCATGGAACCAATTTCATGGATTTTTTTTTAAAGAAGCAGATTAGTTATATAGGTATTATTTTGAAAAATATTTCTGTTATATACAGAGAGTATATGCACACACCTTTTTCGTGTATTGGGTATATATGTAAAATGCATTTCTTACAGTAAGTCAAAGTAAAAATGCTTGAACACCACTATTCTACTGGATAGAGTCTACAGCTTCTCACTCCTCTGAGGGACCCCTTTGCAGTATAACCACAACGACAATAACCACACTATTTGCATTTTCCTTTTTGGTCTTGATGATCACCCTGGTTGGACTGGCTGCACTCCCCTGTTGGCAAATACTGGGAAGTCTAGCATCACAGCCAGTACTCACCACTTTATATTTTTGGTCTGACCTATTTCCACAGCCTTTCCTGATCTATGAAGTTACTGTCAACACACTGGGAGGTAGTATTTATCTTCCTCCAATGGTTTTGGGTGACAAAGAATCATCCCCGGGAAAAGTACCCACCAAGAAGGTTGTCCCTCACAGAATAATAAAGCTCTTTCTTAGTGTCCCCTTGGAAATGTTTTCCTTTTGAACTTATCTGGTTGACAGTAATTAAAGTCACACCTCTGCACACATTGAAGACCTTATAATAACTGAGGCTAATAGTGCCTCAAAAATTCTTCATGGTTCTTTTGCTCTGAGTGCATAATTGGAGCTGAGATTGACATGGGGACCAGAGAGACCAAAGAGAAGATGATACAAAATGAGAATCACTAATATGACTTCAAAAGCATTAGGACAGAGAATTGAACATCAGTTACATAATGAAGACAGCTGGACTACAGGACTGTGGTCATCTTCAAGAGATGCAGTCAGTGAGCTTGTCTACAGGGAAGGTTTGCGTTACATCTAAACAGAGAAGGAAGGTTTGGAGTAAACTGTGCAGCAAAGAAATGCAAAACATCCTTGTTCACATAAAATAGAAATTAGTCTTTTATTTACATAGTAACCCAGGAAAAATGATCTCAGTTGGGTTTGCAGAGTTGTTCAGAAACCCAAGCTGATGGCTACTTGGGTATTTCCAATAGTTGGTTCTCAGGGTCTCTCTGGGCCATGCCATTTAAATTGGCTAAACAGTGTAAATATACGTGCAAGAAAGGGTTCCAGGCTGGGTCTGCCAGAGGCCCACTTCAGGTTTGCTTCAGATCTTAGACAAAAGTTAATTATCTGGATACCGCTGACCTTCCTTCCTGCATTCCTGTGCAAAGTCTGACGGCCATGGCACAGCTTCACTGCAGGAATTCTTAGTTCCTGGGCACCTGGCATACACCAAACACTTCACCAGGTACTTTATACATGATACTACTTCATCTTCAAACAACCATCAGTGTGGGAAGTAGCCGATCATTAGTTATAGCAATGGAAGTTGAGGTCCAGAAGATGTGAAGCCAACCAAACCTTATTATTTTCCTTCTTCACATAGCAGGTACTCATCAAGCATCTCCAGTGCTTAAGACGTTCTTAGTGCCTCATAAACCATTGCTTTTAACTGACGTATTGTGGTTTCATCAAAACCTCCAGTTTTGATAGTGTATGCATTGTTACTACATCCTACGGCAAAAGGGAATTTATGGAAAAGTTTTGAGATTTTAAAACAATATCCTGGATTGGGCATGTGGACTGAACATAAATACCCCAACCCTTGACAGCAGAATATGCTCTGTCTAGAATCAGAAGTGGAAGTCAGAGAGACTCTAAGGGTAAGAAGTCAGCATGTCCTTGTTGGTTCTGAAATGCAAGGGCTCTGTGTAGGGACCACAGTGGCCTCAGAGAGCTAAGGGACAGCTGTCATGGACATTTGGAAAGACAGCAGGGACCTTTTCCCACATGTGAAGTTTGCCAGCAACCTTGACAGCAAGTTTATTTCCAAGTCTGCAGAAGAGAACACAGCTCTACTGAATCCTGGTGGTCAGTCGTGAGGGACCCTAAGGTGAGATGTCCTGTCAGGTCACACCTGGATTTGCTGACCTGCAGAAACTTAGATAGCAAGAAGGTTTGTTCTAAGTCCCTAAACTGTGGTTATTTTTGTCAGCAGCAGCAGACTACTAATGCACTTCTCTAAATCTTTGAAAATAAGTGTTCTTATTTTAATTGTATAGATTGATGAAAACAAAATTCATTGTAGAACTGGGATTAGAATCTAAATCTGATTTGCCTTAAAGACCTCTTTGCGCCACTAAGATATCCTGCTACTTTCCATGAGATGTTGAAATACCTTTGAAAATCTACCTAGCGTGATGTAAATGCAAATTGAAGTTATGTTTATGAGTACAGTATTGGGAGTAATATTTATTTCATAAATGTAAGTTGGTTTTAAGAGTAAATGAGTAGTACTATAAAGCAAGGACAGAAAAGTAGTTTTCAATTTATTTTCAAGTTTAAAAGAAAAAACAAGACAGAGCTATTAGGTTAATTATACCTTTAAAAAATTAAACAAGCCCAGTTTTGTTTGTATAAATAATTGAGAGATTCATTTGAGTTCTGACTTGGAGACCAGATCAAATTAAAATCCCAGAGCAGACAGTTTAATCCATCTTTAGTTTTCTGAGGTACTAGACTGCTCTTTTGGCCTGACAGGTGGATAAATTACTTTTCCCTTCTCAAGAATTCCCTAATCACAGAAAAATATATGGGAGAAAGAGACACTAATGTGTGGTAAGAAATAAGTGATCATTTGAGATCTCATGAGGATAAATCTGAAGTACAAGATGAAATTCATATATAAAAATTATAATGGCACATGTTCGTTTGCGATAATGAATCTTTTGAAATAGTACATGGAACAGTGCTATTGAGCATCCTTGTGGAATCTTCCTAGCAGTTGTCTTTCAAGGGTCAACAAATGCAGGCTAGTATTCCTAATGCCCATTAAGGATCACAGTGATTTTGCATGCTAAAAGCAAGGGGTAAAATAACTTGTTCTTTAAATCCTAGCCCTAATCTTTAGAGCATGGCTGATCGCTTGTGCAAATTGTGTTTAGGTCATGTACTGAAGGTGCACACGTACATAGTGATGGTCAATTCTTCTCACACCATTGCACTCAGTCTGTGAAGTTCAGTATTCCAAGTGAATTTTTTTTTTTTTTGTGTGATGGAAATGACATCAATACAGACAAGAAAGCAAAAGCCTCTTTACTTCTCCACAGTTTATGAAGGCAGTTTAAAGAAAGCTCAGTTACAATGAAGGGGGAAAAAAAAAGCACATGGAAGGTTAATTTCAAAGAAATTATGTCTTCAGTTGTGCATCTCCAATTGAGTTAATGTTTCTTTCCTTCTCCTCCCAACAGGAGTACTATGACAAAGGAGATTATATCATTAGAGAGGGCGAGGAAGGAAGTACCTTTTTCATTTTGGCCAAAGGAAAGGTAAATATTAATTCAAGGGTAAAATCAAAAAAGCTTTCACAAAATTAGTTTGCCATAAGTACTACAGTGCTCTAAAAAGAACTTCTCTGCATTGAATAGTAACGGTCTGGCTTCTCTGAGGGCTGGGCTTGCAGGACAAGGAGTGGGGGATAGAGGAGACTCATGAGAGTGCTAGCGGAGAGGTGCCTTAGACAAGTTACTTGGCTTCCTTTGGATGAAGTTTGCTTGCATACTGGCTGGGCTTTTTCTGAAGGCCTTTCTAGCTCTGAGGATGTGATTCTCAGTTAGTTCAAAAGTCCGAGAACACTTCTGTAACATGTCTCCTTCCACCACAATGACAAATAGCAGGTATAGAAGAAAGAAGGTAGCAAATGATAATGGTCGTGGTCAGATATCAAACTAGAAAGTCAATATTGCTAAGAATTTCAATGTATACTCAGTAGTCTGAGTTATTTAGGTATGGATTAAATATCACAACATCACACCCCCCCCCACACACACACGGTCTTTTGCTTCACCTAGCTATTAAGTGTTGTGCATTGATTCTTTGTTGAATCTTACATTCCTCAGAGACAAAAATATTCACCAAATATTAAAGGGAAGAGTTGACAGCTGATCCCTTGTGTCTTTAAGCTGTCAGAGATTTTACATAATGTCCCATCTTTCCCAAGAGAGTTTATTATCACAGAATCTGTCACTGCCTTTTGTAAACAGGCTTGATGGTGAACTTTGAACTGGGCCTCCAGTGAAGGAAAAATACGAAGAAAGGCATTGCTGATCTCTGACACTCTTCAGTAGTAACAATTACTTATCCTTACTCCACTACCTGGACCCCCTGTTTTGAAAGAATTCTGGCTAACAAAGAAGTTGCAGTTATTATAGTTATTTAAAAAATTTTAATTCAATGTGACATACACAAATGTCAATTGGGATTTCCAGTCAGCGTGAGGCAATAGTGTTACCATGTTAAGTTGGAATAATTGTGGGCCCAAATAGGGGTGATGTATTGAAGTCTTTCACTTTGTAATGAGGGTTCTTCCTGGGCCATGCTGCAGTCTGAGATACGTGCAAATGCTGTGGATTCTTCTTCAACTCACATCTTGCATTCCATTTTACAGAGTGCATAGAATGTGGCCCATCTGCGGACACCAGACTTAGAACTCCTGATGCTTCACCTTATTCTTGATAGGTCTGTCAGTTCTGAAAGGGTTTCTGACTCAACAAAAGTTCCCACAAGACTATCATTTAGTCTCTTAGAGGATCTCTAGTATGGAATCACTGGATTATTTTTAATAACCTTGTTAGAGCAGGTTTGAATGGAGGTTTCCTCTCACAGAGGGTAGTTCTTAGATTGTGTTAAAACAAGGGATTATTCAGATTCATCCTGAAGATCTGAGTAAGATGATTGTTCTGAGTACTGCAGAAATTAAACTGTCCTCTCTCTTTTTTCTTTATCAAATTTATATAGGTCTTCAGGGTTTGGATGAATGGATATTCATTCAGATGTTTTCTTTTGTTTTTGTTTAATATTGTTTAGGTAAAAGTTACCCAGAGTACTGAGGGCCACGACCAACCACAGCTGATAAAAACACTACAGACAGGAGAATACTTTGGAGAAAAAGCCCTCATCAGGTGAAGCCATAAATTTATGTATTAAACTAAATAAAATGCTTGGGCTGTTTTGCATGTGAAACTACTCTTTACAGTTGAGTTAACAAGTTAATGGCAGAAAACATCCACAAATTAAATACAAATTTTGAACTGATTTCTAAAAATTTCACAGTTTGTGGGAAGTAAGTATAGTGATTTTGCACATGAAATAATTGGAAAGTCTTACACTGGCTGGTGCCAGATTAATGTTCTCTTAGAATTTTTAGTTTTAACAAATTAAAACAACACGGAGATTCCATCTTACCTCAGACAGAATGGCTATCATCAAACACTCGACTGATAATAAATGCTGGGGGGACTGTGGGGAAAAAGGAAAGCTTCTCCACTGTTGGTAGGAGGATAGGCAGATGCATCCACTATGAAAATCAGTGTTCAGAGACTTTAAAAAACTGGGATTAGGATACTAGAATAGCTGAGTGGCACAGCCTGACAAGCACAAGGTCTGGGGTTCAGTTCCTGATACCAAAAAAAAAAAAAAACAAAAGACAAAAAACAAAACAAAATACAAACAAACACCAAAATAAAACAAAACTACAATTAAAGGTCCCATTTGATCCAGTTATTTCCCTTCTGGGTATATTCTCAGAATTAAAAACGTCACACCCTAATAATATGTGTGCATCCCTGTTTATAATGGCACAATTTATAATAGCGAAATTTTGGAAAAAACCCAAATGCCTACCAACCCAAGGATGGATAAAGAAAGTTGTTGGGCTTTTTTTTTTTATTTTTATATAATGGAACACTACGAAGTCACAGAGAAGTATAAACTGAAAACTTTTAAAAGTAAATGGATGCAACTTAAGAACATACTCATAAGTGAAATACCCAGATTTTTTTTTTTCTTCTGATGCTGGGGATCAAAGTCAGAGCCTTTTGCACATGCAAGGCAACAGCTGTACCACTGAGTCACATCCCCATCCTCATAAGTGAAATAAGCAAGATCCATATTTGTAAACATCATACTCTTACTAGTGTGAAACTGGGCAAATAAATAAGATCTAAAATGTACAACAGATATTATGAATTGGGAATTCATAGATACTATGAATTTCTCAAAAGAAAAGACAAACCATGATGAGAGTAAAGGGAAAGGAAGGAAGGGAAAAATAAATGTATACGCAAAGAGAATCAAAATAGTTATACAGCTATTTCTCTTAGTTCATCAAAAAGAAAGTTTTGTGCTAATATTGTTTGGACAACCTATCATGTCTGTATATTGTACTCTGAATAACTACTATGAAGACAACAATACACAAGGTATCAACTATTGCAACTGTCCTACTAATTTGTTTTGAAACTTAGTTTCACTGTTGCATTTTTTTAATCTTTAAAATTAAAAAAGCTTACTTTTTAAAAAGTCAATTTTAAAAATGGAAAATTATAATTTAAAACAATCATAACAAATATTTATTTTCCTATGGCTTGAAATATTTCCGTGTTTAGATTTGTTTAAAAAATAAAAATTAAAAAATTAGATGGCATGTCAAAAGTAATGTATATTTAGGTATTTTTATAGCTAATTTTGCAATCGCATTTTATAAACAATTCAAAATAATATATTTGAAATTCTACCTGAAAGGTCAGGGTATTTGAGGTAGGAGGTTATTTATCATTGATCTAATTTATGGAAGAATTGTTTTTAATGGCTCATCAGGTGGCTGAGAGGACACTTCGTACTTCCTGAAACTCATAAAGCTTCATGTCTCAAAAAATTATTTTTCTAAATAAAAATAACTTTATAAAGTAAAAAGTTAATGTTTGGGGGCAACATCCATTTTTAAAAATAATTCCATATGTTTTTAAGTAAGTACTTTGAATATTTTAATATGTCACTTAAATTTATGACAACTTTTATTTTAAATATACACTTAAAGGAGCAGCAGTTCTATTTATCTACTTAACTTTAGTTTGTGACGTCCTAGATCTGTTAATTTATATGACAGGTTTGCATAATTATAAGTAACACAAAAGTATTCAGAAATTATCTGAAGACAGGTTTGATTATTCAAACATTATAACGTTCTTATTTTAAAAAGGAAACCCAGGTGCTAAAACTTAATAAATTACATTACAGCTATTATGTAGGTAATTTAAAAGTGGAATTTAAACAGAAGTTGAATGACTCATTCCCATTTTTTAACTGATAATGAATTTGTTTCAATAGTAGAGAAATTATCTTTCTTTTTATGCCCTATCATAATGCGATAGCATTATCTAACACTTTAATGTTTTGTTCTTAACATTTATGCTTGCTTTATTTTTCTCATGCTCCTAAGTAAAATAGTTACAGCTTAGAAGTGTACAGAATTTTATAAAACAGCTCTTGGAAGGAAATATGCTATCTGTTTTTGCTGGAACAGAAATAATATGTGTTGCATGTTCCCGCAAGCCAAGTGTAGTGTTTTCCTACGAGAAACATGAGAACCTCTGTTTGTATACGGACACCCTGCCTCCCAGGGCAGTAGAAGTCTAGAAAGATAAAAATCAATGGGAAGGAAATCTGGGAACAAACATTTTTATGCATTTGCGTGTGTTTATACCACCATTTGTAGGGCTGCTGCCTGTGAGTCCATGTTCCTTATGTTCTGTATATTTTCATGACTTGACGTTGATACTCCCCTGAGTTCTTTCAGATTTTTTCTTTTGGTGCAAAAATAAATCCATGCCATTTACACAGCTACTATGAAAGGAATATAAGTCTATTCATGGACATTCAATACTTGCAAAGGATTTGCTGAGTATGTTCTCAGGGAAAAATCATGGTGGTACTCTGTGAGAGGACTGCCCCAAGTGATTTTCCCTGAACTCATGGATGAAATAGCTGATCAATAATCCAA